GTGCTTCACCTTGCTGGCGTCTGATTGATGTGCTTCAGCTCGCCTGTGTTCGATTGCATGCAATCGGACACCTGCAAGGTGAAAGCTGTTGTGTCCAATTTGGCGCAATCGGACATGGCTAAGAAAAAGATTAAGCACTTCACCAGGCTTTACCTCGCCTGTGTCCGATTGCATACAATCGGACACCGTCGAGGTGAAAGCTGATGTGGTTTTGAAATCATCTGGGGGCCTTTTTTTTGATTGAAAAAAAAAAGAATAATTGCAAGGACATCGGACGATGTATTGGACTTGGGGAGATACATAGATGGAATGTGGTGGGAATATTGGGGACTTGAGGAATCACAGATTCAAATGTGATCATGTAGCAACCACGGGTGGGCAGAAAACCCGGGCGGGTTGCCACATGTAAATTCTGAGTTGCTACAGGGGGGTTGTAGCAACCCGGTTTTACCTCCCGCGGTGGATATGCTCTGAGGGTGTCTGTGTAGCTTGAGGGTTGTAATTGAGATTGTGACATGTATTTGATGGGTGAATTCTGTGTGATATGTTGTCCATTGTGGAATAATTGCTGATCCAGGTGTGTTCCAGTGACGCCTCCAAGGTGACCAAGGGTTAATTTGTCTTTAGAGTCCAGTTCTTGAGCCGTATGGTGTGATTTCTGATGGATAGTGGATGATAATATGAAGAAAATATATATAAGAAAAAAAGAAAGAAAAAACTTTGAATTTTTCACATTTTTGACTACCACACCACCAACTTTAGCATGTGCCAAGTGGGGGTTGGGATGGTGCCACACATGCTTTAGGATTGGCCAAGCCGGCTTTGGGATTGGACCAGCGCGCTTGGCCTTTTTTTGGCCAAACTTTGGTGTGTGCCCAGACGGGCTTGCAACACCATATATCGATTTTTTAAAGCAAATATCTTTGGGTTTATGATTGTACACCAATGATGCATAGAATTATCTGATGAAGAATGGTTGATTGGTATTCATCTGTAATTTGCAGCCTCATAAGCCCTCCACGTTTGAGTCACACCCATGTGTTGCTGGGATAGTGGTATCCTATCCCCATAGCAAGAGCCCAACACACTTCATCCTCTGACACATCAATAGCCTGGAGTTCAATTCCGGCTGCAAGCCACTGCATATTCCCTCCAATCAGTACAAACATGCATCACTGTACCATCATTTACTTTCTGTGGATATTGTGCACCCTTTGCCTGGCGGTAAAAATGTGGAGAAGGTGCGGAAAGTGTGCAATGGATTCCCTACTGAACACAAGAAAGGTGATGAAGCATACAATTAGGAAACTTGGCCAAACAGGCACAACCGACATAAAAACTTGCGGATATTTGTCACATCTATCAGTCAGCTGTGATTATGAGTACCCAGTGGAGTTATATAGATGTCATGTCTGTGATGCCCATGCCTGGGTAATCACAAACACAGAACATTGCCCCAGCCACCGGCAACCTCCAGATAGTTACTTTGATCCAAACCACCCAGATCCATAGGTCAAGATGCCCAAAGGAGACTCAAATAAGAGTAAATATGCATGTGTATATGTTAAGATGTGCCCCCATGGAATACTTTTTTATTTTATTCTTCACACATTTATCAAATTTCAAAGGTTGTCTGTGATTTAACAGTATTAAACTAAAATTGTGTGACATGATGCCAATTTTCTAGTATACCAACCTGCTCTTGACTAAGGGAGAAAGGTTTCCATGACAACACATACAGCTGCACACAGAAGTCTGCAAACACCAATTGCCTCACTGGGGGGGAAAATCTGGGGGGCCAAGGGAGATCAATAAGGTGGAAAGACCTCATTGAATGGAAGGTTTTACTCTTTATAAATGAGGTTTTTGTACTTCACTGACCAAGAGGAACCCCTTTTGGTCAGTGAGGAACAGCTACCTCACTGACCAGAAGGGATTGCCTCTGGCCAGTTGGGACTAAATGCCAAACTCCCCATGCATGAGAGGTGGTTTCAAGAGCCAACTCTCAAAAAAAATGCAAAAAAGGCCAGGATCATCCCAAAGCCCCCCCCCCCCCCACCATTCAACTAGAGAGAACATTCCAAAAGAATTTCATTTAGGGTTGTGGGAGTTGTTGAATAAAATTTTGGAGTCGTTTTTCTAACTCCCCCATATCATTCTGCAACAATTTTGTTTTCTCTTGATGTATAAAATCTTCTGATGAAGAACGATGAACTTAGATTCAGTTTTATTGTAATTTGAAGCATCACAAGCTCTTCAATTCTGAGGGAAACCCATGTCAGGGTGTAAATGGGTCGGGTCGACCCAAAGCCGACCTTTGGGCAGACTTTGTGAGAAAATCACATGACCCGAACCCGACCCGGAAGCTTAGCGGGTCGGGTTTGGGCAGGTAAGTTTATTTCATAGTTGCTCTACAAAGGCTAAAATACTGGGGTCGGCCCAAACCCGACATGCAAACTGCCGACCCAAACCCAAAAAGTCCCAAGACGGGTTTGGGTCTGGGCAGCATATATTCAAGTTTGACCCAACCCGACATAAGTGTCGGGTCAGGTTTGGGCACTGTTTTTGGGCCCGAACCCAACCCGTTTACATCCTGAAACCCATGTGTTGGTGGCCTAGTGGTACCCTATCCCCGATTCCCCATCACAGGAGCCCAACATGCTTTATCCTCTGACAGGCCAACAGTCTGGATTTTGATTCCCATTGTAAGCCACTGCACATCTTCTTGCATGAGTATAAACATGCATCACCACCCAATTATCCCCCCTTCTGTACTTTCTCTTCTTGTGCACACTGTGCAGCTTTCCACTGTTGGGAAATAGGTCAGGAAGGTGTGGGATGTGTGTGCTGAAGTACCTAGTGGAAGAAAACTAGGATATGAAATTGGTTAGGGAACTCTGGCCATCAAGCAGAACTGATAATATAAATACTTGTACTGGAGAATCACAGCATTTATATTCCAGATGGAATCCTGAGCTCACACCCAGTTGCATTATTCAAACGTAAAAGCCGCAGTGCACATGCCTGGCTCATCACAACCATTGACTTTTGCCCTGACCACATCCACCCCAAAGGAAAGTATCATGATCTCAAGCTCCCAGAAAAATAGGTCAAGATCCCCCCCCCCCCCCCCAAGGGGACCAAACAATCCAAGATATTCATGTTGACACATCCCTCCCACTCCAGGAACAATCTTCAATTGACATACTTTTCTCTTGAATTGCAGAGGATGTCTTTCAAAATCTGACACTTTTTTTGTTCTCATTCTAAGTAATTATAACCGATTTACTTTGCCCGATATGGGGACCTAATCAGGGAAGAAGTGGTTGGGGGGAGGGTGAGCTCTCCCCCTAGCCTGACCAGGTGGTGGATCAGTGCAAATAGGCAAGGCATGTGGGTCAAGTATGAGGGGGGTTCAAAGCACAAAGCCCATCAACTCAGGGTTGGGGAGAGCCTGAGCGATGGGTTAAAACCCCCAACTTGACCCAACACTGGGTTGTCCCATTGCTAATACTACACAAACATCATAACTGGGCCATCTTCCGCCAGTTGGCTACAAGCTTTCTCAATAGGGATTTCTCTCCTCAACAGCACAAGCCTGCCCCTGCACAACCCATCAAAGCCAAGTCATCTTATCTTGCACACCGTGTGGTATGCTGCTATGTCTATTCCACACTGCCAGCTTAATGGGATAGGTAGAGGCTATCCCAGTCGGATTCAGATCTCCTCAGCCTTGCCAATTATGGTGGCAAGGGGCCAATGCCAAGAGCATACAGCAGATACAGCAGAAGTGCTGGGATAGTATGGTTACACACACTCTCACATTCTTTACAACTGAAGGAACATTCATCACGGTGTGGTAATTGAATATGTGAATATTCAAATTTTCTCTGATACAACCCTTCAGAAGTAACACAATATGGCTTGAGATTCCAAGGATAATTTTGGTCCCAGTCACCACTGGATACATCTTTGGACAGGACCCAGGAAACCCCCCATAAATGTCAGTAACCAAAACCTAAAAATGTATACAGCCACTTTGACTGAACATCAGATGTGATATCTGGATAGTTGCCACATCAGGACATGTACATACTGAAGCTGCATCCTGCCCATAAACCTTTTAGTGGTAAATCTTCACCAGTGAGCCTTGAGAAGCAAAAAACTAAAAAAAAAAAAAAACATCTGAGAAACAATTCATACATTTTTTTTTATTTTAGTTTTTCAGTTATTAAAACTCACTGGTTGAGGTTAGCCACTAAAGAACACTTGTACATGATCCACATTTAGTATGTACATGTCCTGATGTGGCAACTATCCAGATATCACATCTGATGTTCAGTCAAAGTGGTTGTGTAGGGTGAAAATTCATTCATACATTTTGGTTACTGACATTTATAGGCGGTTTCCTGGGTCCTCTTTGGACCCCCCCTGACAGATTCAAAAATGGGGCCCCTAAACCTTTGGGGGTTGTTTTTTCTTCCAAGCCCCTTTTCCTCATATCATCAAGCTTAAAAATCTGTCATTGAGGAGGTGAATTAAGGATTCTCCACTGCTCTGGATAGGGGGTATCATTTTTCTGAATCCCAGGACTAATGAATTGATTCCCATGATCATTGTGATTGGGTGGGAATCTAAACCATCATCTTGAAAAAAAAGAAAAACTCCATCTCTCTTTGCTTGATCAACTCTCACACACACAAATTCAACACAGACACACACTCAGCCAGGATGGAAATCTGTCTTTGTGGGGAAAGATCAATAGATAACTCACAAAACTGTTGCTGGTGATGGTGGCTGATTGATTGAGTGGAGAGGATATAGGTATACATAAATATTAAGGTTGTAAGAGTGAACAAACAAACAAAGAGAACTTGAATGTTTGAAATTGATTGATTTTGGAATCGAGGATGAATTGAAATCATTCAGAAAGGAGAAGAAAAGAAAAAGGCGAATGATGGGGAGAGAAACGCAAAGAGACAAGAAAGGATGAAAGAAAATCAAGAACGATCGAGCGATAGTTCCAAGAACCAAGCGTCGACATCCACCGTTTGGTCAGAAGAATCACTGGTGCCGGTTGTTGAAGGAGGATCAGGCTCGGAAAGAAGTGTCTGTTGATGGGTCGAAGTGTTTGAGGAGGGAAGAGGGGAGGAGAAGTCCAGGGAAGACGATTTATGCAGAGAGGATAAAGAAGAAGAAGAGGAGAGCTTTTTGAGAGCAGGATCGAGAGGTTTGAGCTCGTTGTCGGAGTAATAGGCCGGTTTGAAGCAGACCGGTGAGAAGCCGGCCCGAAGATAGAACGCGTAAGCGACCTTATTGGTCGCCTGGACATGAAGATTAACGATGATCCTATCCTGGTTGGGGGAGTTGTTGAGTGGGAGGAGTCTGGAGAAGCGGTTCTTGATCTGTTTGAGGAGGCTATCGAGCAACAGACGGCCGACTCCGAACCTGCGATAGCTGGGACTGACGCAGAGGGTGAGGATGCGTACGGAAGGGCCGGTGGGACTGGTGGCGATCCGAGCGGTGATGGTGCCGACGACATCCAATGAGATCGGTTTCCGTCCCGATAGGGGTGAGGTAACGTGATGGTGGCTCAGGTGGCCATGATGTGTGGAGCTGGATACTAGTTGACTCGCTGGATGGTTGCCCAACGAACTGAGCACTTCGAAGTAGCCCTGGACACTCGTCGAGGGTAGGGTGGCTACTAGACTGATCTTCTCCTGCGAATCACTCCGTAAGAGGTTGTAGAAGAACGAGCTCGGATAGGTTACCGGTAAGGTCGCACACTGAATTCCGATCATCGATCGGTGATGATGATACGGTTAATGTGATTATTCTGATCGAGATTGATGTAGATTCATTGCAGGGGGATGTATTTAAAATGCGAATTGGAGCTTACATGTAATTCCCTAACTTTCTCGATATCACAGACCTGTAAGGAGCGGACTTCGAAGCAAGAGCGGGTATGTTTTTGGTTGAGATTGTTGATGAGATTGGAGGTTTGATTATGAGAGTTTTCGAGGAGAGGTAGTGGGTGGAAAGAGGTTAATGATGGTGATGAGGAGGAGGAAGAGGATGGTGAAGGTTTATTGCGACGAGGTCGACAGCTGTTAGGGGATTCGAGGACCATTGGTTTTAGGAATGAGTTGGGAGTTGGATGGTGGTCATGCTTATGTTGTTGATGGGGAGTTGAGGCTTTCTTGAAAGGGATGAAGCAGCTGGATGGATGGAAGGTAGTACTGGTGGGTGTTGTGAGGCTGTTAGTGCTGCTGCTAGTGGATTCGTATGAATCGGAAGAGCGAGTGGGTGAGGTGGTGGTGGTTGAGCTGGAAGATGATGATGATGGTGAGACTGGTGAGGAAGAGCATGGAACCTGGTCGGTTGTTGGGACGAGAGACAGCCAACAGCCCAGGGGCATCTTTGATTCGCTTGTTTGTTTGTTCGTTTGTTTGAATTCGGTTTTTTTGTGGTTGGTTGGTTGGGGGAAACTCTGTGTTTGGTTTGGGATCTCGACTCCACAATCTACGCAGATCAAAGGCTTTTGTTGTTTAAGGAAGTGTTTTGTTTGTTGGAAGTCAGACTCTCGGGATGTCCTCCCACTTTTTTTTCTTTGAGAGAGAGGAGGTTGTACATAAACTGTGCCCAGGGCTTGACCCTTTCTGGAGTCAGGTGTAGGGTTAATACAACTACCGCCAGAAGAAGCACACCGTCTTATATGTAGTCAACCAAAGCAGCCATATGGACAACAACAACATCAATATGGCTCCGGTTGTGGAGGTTAGGTAAAGCCTAAAAAAGATAAAAATCCAATTAGCAACTCCTCGAGGGAAAAAGTGTCTGCACCACTGAATTCCTGATCGGGACGACACAGAAGTACTGGCGATGTTCATGATGGTCTCCGGATCGGATTCACGCCATAATAACCATCTCGGCTTCAACCGGTTCTCGATCATCAACTTCACTAACACTGCCATGAGAAGCCGAGCCAGTCACCAATTAAGCTCTGCTGAATGCGCTGTCCACTGCAAGAGTAGCATTGTTTTGGTGAATTAGGCTGGACTGTCTTGAACCCAGCCGACCAAGAATCTCACTAAGATCCTCCTAGCTGATCATGATGTTGAAGCGAGCAAGCCGATGGCAAGCTTGTTCCAAAGAGTTCTTTATTTCAAAGCTCGACGTCTCTCTTTAAATTCGGGGCTGATCAAGAAGCCTGCAAGCCCTGCCAAGTTGCGATAGACACGAATATAATCACTGTAGGAATGTATTTAACAGCCACTCGGAGTTTTCTTGACCGACGAAGATGGAGTCGAAGAAATGCAAGATAAAAAAAACCCCCTTCAAAGCTTTTCTTTCTCCGGACATCCACCCCCATCCCTGAAAGAATCTGAGCGACGTGAAACCAAACAAAAAAAGGAACAGACTTTTCAGTGACAATCGGCCAGCAGCGATGTTCCTGAGAGGAGCAGGCTTTGTGATCTTGTTGAGGATTATGCTCATCCTCCTGATGATCCATCTAATAATCCCCTCGGCCCGACCGGCGAACGTCGTAGGACCACAGCAATGCACCAATGGCTTCGCCCTTGCTTCCTACCACTCCGACTCGGTCTGTAAGTCCAACAAGCCCAAGGACCAACCGGACAACTTATCGTACAAGACTAAACTCACGCTCGCCATCCTAATTCGTAGCTTGCAAAACCTCCCAAAACGTGATTTACGATTGTAAGGTCAGTAAATGTTTCGCAACTAGTGACACCAGTCAACACGGGAAACCATGTCAGTCTTGCCCCCTTTTTTTCTTGGTGGTAGTTCTTGGAATCAGCCAATCAAGAAGAATGACTGGATGAATTTGCATCTTCTGTTCCTCTCTCTCTCTCTCTTGATCTCTCTCATCCACAATCAGACTCGGAATTTGTCTTCGAGAAATGCCATCGAATCGACGCCTCTGATCATCCCACCAAGAGCACTTCAACAATCCATCCAGCCGAGTTCTACCCCACTTATAATGAGAAGAACTGGTTAGGTGAGTGATCAGTCAGATCAAATCATTCGATCATTATCACTAGAGAAAAGACATGAGAGCAACTGATTGCATATGAGATCTTGGGCTTAATGGGTCATCGGTAGAGATCCATGGCTCTCCTCCACTCCAACCAGGTCGACGACGCTACCAATGCTTCACCTCAGAAGCTCAGAAATTGAATACCAACAGACCTTGTATGTCAATTCTTTTCTAAATAACAAAAAAACTATTGCCAGGAAAGACGACTGTAGAGATTAAATCTCCAAGACTGATCGATTTGCTTGTCATTGTTACATCGATCAGGGTGTGTTGGTTGTTCCTTACCTCCAACGTAGACCATCATTCTCCATAGATGAGGATATCAGACCCGTTTCCCTTTATATCAACATCATCAAGGAACAAGGAGCATTCTAAAGGGGCTTCAAATCATCGAGCTGGCCCCCCCTTCTGTTTTGATTGGTTGTTTAGATCAACCGATTTTGTTGGCTTTTCACTATCATCATCATCATCTTCTTCTTCTTCTTGTTCTCCAAATACAAGCCTTGTGTGATAGATAGCATGTTCCTAGAAGGTTTTTTATGGAAAGCAAAAGAAAAGCTTATTCACATAGGGGTTTTTTTTTTTTTTCAAGTGATCAATTGGTACTAATTATTGGCTCATCATGAGAAACACTTGATCATGGATTGGAATTGGTTTCCTGTTTCAAAAAAAAAGAAAGGAAAAGCGAGTGGGTGTTACATACATGCAGTTAGACAATCCACAAATGGGAGGGCTCTCACTCTCCTTCCAATAATCAATCAAATCACAATCAATATTCTTGGATAGGTTTGTTAAACTTATAGGGGACACAATCATTTACATCTGAGGCGGGTTTCAAGTAATGGCGGGCTCCATCACCACATCCATGGTCCATCCAAAAACAAAACTGTAACCATGTCATTTTGTCTCTTATAGTCTCTCTAATTTCTTTTTTTTCTTCTGCTGAAGCTTGAAACCAATTCCAAACAAATCGAATCAACACCATCAAAATTTGACTACACATATTAATGCTTGATTGATTGCCTACTAATAGTGCCATGATTTTGATAGCAAAAAAGTTTGACTTGATGTGGTCTCCTGAGTGGTGAAAAGTAAATTATAAGAACAGAATTATTTCACTCTTGCAGATCCATATAGGATTGTGTGTGCTTTGTTTCCTCATGGGGACTTGCGTGTGTGTCTTTGAAGGTTGAGGGTTCCTAGTCCCAACTCTTTTTCATGATTGTTGGGACATACTCCTAGATCGACCAAAAATCATTTTTTTCTTGCTGGTTTTTTTCAAGGGAAACAAAAACCATAGCTGGGTAGACACCAGGAAAAGACATGCTCAATTGATGACATGTCACATCAGCTAGTCAGCATGCTACCCACTATGTACCATATCAATCTAGTCAGCCCCTGTAGCA